GGCAGGTGCGGCGGGAGGAGCCCCGCGCCGCCCTCTTGCCCCCGGGCACGGCGGGCTGGGGCGCTCCTGGGGAGATCCCGGCCAGGAGGGGAGGGAAGGCGGCGGGTGGCGCACAGGGTGTGAAGGCGAAGGGGGAGCGTGAGGAGAGAGGGTGTGATTGTGTCAGTGAAGGGTGTGTCCCTGTCACAGGAGGGAGAGGGCTGTGCTCGGTGTGAGTGAGGCGCGGGGCTGTGCTGTGTGGGGGAGTGAGAAAGGGAGGGGAGAGGGCTGTGCTGTGTGTGTGTGAGTGTGTGTCAGAGGAGAGGGTGGCGCACAGGGTGTGAAGGCGAAGGGGGAGCGTGAGGAGAGAGGGTGTGATTGTGTCAGTGAAGGGTGTGTCCCTGTCACAGGAGGGAGAGGGCTGTGCTCGGTGTGAGTGAGGCGCGGGGCTGTGCTGTGTGGGGGAGTGAGAAAGGGAGGGGAGAGGGCTGTGCTGTGTGTGTGTGAGTGTGTGTCAGAGGAGAGGGCTGTTCTCTGTGGGGGTGTCAAAGGAGAGGGCTGTATTGTGTGTCAGTATCACAGGAGAGGGTTGTACTACTGTATGCCATCAAAGGAGAAGGTGATGGTGTGTCTGTGTCATGTCTTAGGAAGGGGCGTATAGTACCGATGTGTTTTGTGTCAGAGGAGACAGCTATATTGTCTGTGTCCTGAGTTTGTCAGTGTCAGAGGATAGAGTGATGTGCTGCTAGGGTGTCAGAGGAAAGGGGTGTATGTGTGCATGCTAAGACGGTATCAGAGAAGGGGGAGTGTGAGAGAGATCAGGTGCCTGTGTTTGTGTCTGGGTGTCAAAGGACAAGTGGTGTTTGTGTGCAAGAGAGAGGTGTTTTGGGTGTCAAACCAAAAAGTATAAAGGTAGATTGTCCATGACAGTGTAGAGGGTGCAAAAGTGCCAGAAAAGAGACAGCTATGTGTAAGCGATTTTGTAGGCAGAGCTTGGTTGTATCAGAAAAAAATGTGTGGATGTGTATGAGGTGTCAGTGTGGTTAAAAAGTGTGTGTGTCTGCATGCAAACGTGCAGTACATGCAACTGAGTGCTACGCAGGGAGATGGGTATGAGGGGCAGACAGAGGGGTAAGTATGGTTCAGTGAGAAGTGTTAGGATATGTGAAGTACAAAGCAGTGTAAACGCTGTTGGAAAAAAAACAGACGTTTGGGATTGTTTAGAGGAAAAGGGGTGTGTAAGGAGAGAAGCAGACAGTGTATGCTGTGTGTGCTAGGTTAGCAATGGCTTGGCTAGCCCCATGAAACCAAGCTCTCAGGGAAAGAAATCTAGAGGTCAGTAAAAGAAGTTCCATGTGTCAATGTCTGAAGAGCTGCAGTACAACTGATCTGCAGCTGCTGGAAGGAGACCAGAGGGAAGAAAGGAACCACATGGGCTACATTATTTAGTTCAGCAAATCAAATCTGCACGTGTAAAACTGCAGTAAGGAGTTGACAGCTCTTGCAGTTGAATTCTAACTTTCTGGTCTTCCTTAGGTTTTGGCTCAGGTTAGTCTGTTTCCTCAATGTGTGAAGTAAAAGCCACAGGGGTTGCAGTGTTATGTATAGTACAATTTTGCTGCTAAGCTTGTTGCTTCCTGAAGAGGAAAATGAGGATATACATTAGGGTGCATTGATGACTAAATTTGTAGGTGGATTAATGTGATTCCTGGTAAAGGAAAAAGGCAGGCAGATGTTTTCTTCTCTCCTTTCAAATCTGTAGTTAAATGATACTGAGCAGTAAACTTGTGACATCAAATTTTGAAAAACATGTCATACAAGTAAGGGAAGAACTATTGTTGATCTGGAAGTATTTCTCTCTGTATTGGGGGATTTTCCATTCCTTGGCAATGAAGAAGGATTGTGTTTACCTTATGCCCAGGAACAAAACTGGTTTTAAAACAGCCGTCCAATTAACATGCATACTTGACAGAAATGTATCATAATGAACTAGTGTGTCAGAAAGAGAATCACTGTGCCCTGGTCTACACTAGGGCTCTATTTCAAAATAACCCCTTTTAGGATGAATTTATAAGTGGATCATCTACACTACCAGGTCCATTATCTAATATATAAAGGAGAATGTTTGTACGTTTGTGTGCTAATAACTTGGACACTATAAGAGCTACTGCAACCAAACTTTGCATGGGATAACATTTTATCCAGGAGAAGGTTTTAAGGTACTGTGGGAGGGAAGAGATGAGAGACGGACGCCTCTTCCCAGGGCTGCACGGAGCTTGATAGTGCAGGGAGAAGCGGCTTCCCGGGGGAAGCGGAGGGGACAGTCGCTCACTAAGGCTGGCAGAGGGATAACCTGCCATCCAGGAGAAGGTTTTAAGGTACTGTGGGAGGGAAGAGATGAGAGACTGACGCCTCTCCCCGGGGCTGCATGGAGCTTGGCAGTGAGGGGAGAAGTGGCTTCCTGGGGGAAGGAGCAGGGATAGTCACTCACTAAGGCCGGTGGAGGGACAAGGAAGTGGAGGGCGGGCTCGGGCGCTGGCGGCAGGCCTGCGGCTCCTTTCCCCCTCCCGCTTCTCATCTCAGTTATATCAACTGTCCCAACAACGCTGGGTAACTCTAGCTAGTTTCAAAATAAAGGACAGCTTATTTTAAAATCTGTACTTCTGCTTTTCTCAGGGAATAATGCTATTTTTGAAATAGTTATTTTGAAGTAGCATTAGTGTGGATGCTCCAGTGCCGCTATTTCGAAATAACCAGACCCTAGAGTAATTTGAACTAATTACTTCCCATTGCTTCCTGGGGCTTTCAATTGAGGTAGCGCGTTGACATTAACAGAGCCTGCCTCAGATTAATTTTGAGGATTCCCCTTCGTAGGGACACACTATTTCAGTTTTGTAAAATTGGGAGTTGTTATGCAGAATTTAGTTATTTTGAAATAGTTTCCTAGTGTAGACATGGCCTGTGTGTGTCCAAACTTCTCAAATGTGTGTCACAAGTTCTTTATTGCTATTAGTTAGGCTCCTCATTTTTTCAGGAAGAATGGCTCTTGTGCAAAATGGGGTTTTTGCACAAAAAGGAGCTGTGTAGACGGTGCCTTTTTTGTGCAAAACCCTCTGGTGCATAAATGGCCCCTAATTAATTATGCAAATGAAGCGCAACACTATGCTAATCTGTGCTTCATTTGCATAGGCTTTTGTGCAAGAGGAATGCAATGTAGACATAGCCTTAGAATGAACTATGTGTGGGCCTCAGAGTAGGGTGATCTGCTACCATGAAATTCCAAGTGAACATGCTGCAAATTAATAACTGACCCTTGGTGTCAATATATCACCAAATAATTCATATTGGGAATAATGAACACAAAACCTGAGGTTCATGTTAACTAAACAAACCCTGTTGGCCATTTCCTCAGTTGATGTAAACTGGTGCAGCTCCATGGGTCAGTGGATCAACCTTAATTTAAACCCACTGAGAATCTGGTTCACTATCTTTTTAAAGTTTAATTGCAAATCATCTTTAGGAAAGGATTTCTAACCAAGGTAACAGCACTTTTCACCAGAAGGGTGTCCTAGATACATTTCAGTTTAACAAGTACATTTTGGGGATATTTACATTCCCCTCAAGTTTTCAACTGGATAAGATATATTCTTCAATTCCTGATATCAATGGTTGTGAAGGGAAGCTATGCTCTCTTGAACAGCTGCTACATTTTGACCTATAGGTAACTGCGCTTTATTGGTGGTTTAAATGGTCCCTGTGTGTAGTTTGTTTATTAAGTGTGTAAAGCCTGGACTCTCTAGAGATGGAAGGTATGGGGCACCTAGAAATATTATAATAATACTGCTGAAAGGAGTAATGAAAGGATTTTGCAACTGTAGTCTTCGTTATGTGGTTTTTTTTAAAAAAAAGAGTAGTCCTGTAGTACCTTAAAGACTAACAAATATATATATAAATAAGGTATCATGAGCTTTGGTGGGCAAAACCCACTTCCTCAGATGAGTGGAGAAAAAAAGGGGGAAACTTCCTAATTTAAAACAGAAAAATAAGGGGGGGACCTGTCAATTGCAGTGCAGGTCCTAATGAGGCTAATTGAATGGGTGTAAGTGTCCCATACTTAGCTTTTGATGTCATTTGGGTGTTGAAAATAACGGCCCATCCAGTTCATGTCTTTGTTCAAGCCATGCGAGATAAATGTCAAATTTGCATATGAAGGCCAGTTCTGCAGTCTCACTCTGTAGTTGGTTTCTGAAATTCTTTTGTAGAAGAATGTCTACTTTGAATTAGTGAGTGCCAAGGTAGGTTAAAATGTGCTTCACCAGGTTTTTGCGTATTACCATCTCTGATATCTGACTTGTGTCCATTTAACCTTTGTCGTCTTTGTTTTGCATTTGGTTCTTAGCAGGTTGATCTAGGAATACAGTGCATAGTGAGGGTATATTTCACTGCAGCTACAGTAATTACCTTCAGAAATGATTTACTTATATTGACACTGATTAAAGTGTTACTGTCACTGTTCTCTCTGCCCTATGGGTACAGTAGAACTGTTATATAGAATCTAACCCAGTGCTCCACAAACTGTGGGGTACTCCTAAATACAAGCATAGTGTATTTGACAAGTACTAACCAAAAGACATGCACGAGGAGTTTTGGGATGGCAAATTGACTCCCAAAACTTACAGGTGCATAGTGGGATTGTTCACAATGCTACATGCCTTCAAGGAGTTCAGTGCTCTCCCCTATCTACACTTCTACTGGCCATAGTGTGGGGGATAGGATGAGCATGACATGGCCCTGCCTCAGCCTCATTACCCTGAGGTGGTAAGGGTGATTGCAATTGTTTCTTGTTTCTGTGCAGGCATGGAAAAGGTCCTCTTCATCATCTCCTCCTTTAAACCCATCCAGAAAAATCTCTAAAGTCATTTGAACTCAACAGCATGTCTCCTGTGAATACATGCTGTCTATGATGTCCTGAATCGTAAGAATATAAGTGTTTCTGAGGGTGGGAATGGTGTAGTGCATAGTGCTTGGAAAATTACCTTAGTTCATAAAATGTTGGACTTTTTAACAGACAGTAGACAGTTTTTTACAAACTAATTGGGGATGAGGAGTTCATAAAATTGAACATCTCAAAATCACTGGAGGTATGATGCCTAATTGCATCACTTCTTGTCCTATAAAACAATACAAAGCCATTTCCAGTGCATTGAAGACATAAGAATATGAAGGAAGGTCAAGTTTTTGTTCATCAGCCTAATTTTGTTGTGTGATTTTTTTCAGTTAGGAAAAATGATTCATATAACTGATCTGTTTATAAGACTTGTGTTCATAAAATTGAGTTTCTACTGTAGTTGCTTTATACATGCATTGAATGAAATATTTTCCCTGACTCTTTTCTGATGACACACAATACCAGAGTCCTGACCACTGTAATTCACTTAAGATTCCACAGAACTCTTCTGTAATAATGGAGGTGTTATGGCATCCTAGCTATATTCTAGTTTGCTTAGGTATGTTTTACCTATCTAAATTGTTTTTGCATGTTCAGTTGGAGTCAGTATTGTTCAGTCCTGACTGTAGCATAATGTCCTTTTCAGCTATTCAACAATGGCTGAATTTTACCCCAGAAGTGACTACAAATCTGTTGTGGTTAGTTTGAAGAAATATCTTTCCTTGCATCGATCAGCCTGTCTATTCATCTACCTTTCTAATATATGGTTGTGACTGTTTTCTTCCACTATTTGATCTGAGGAAGTGGGTCTGGCCCACGAAAGCTCATCATCTAATAAACCATCTTGTTAGTCTTTAAAGTGCTACATTGTCCTGCATTTTGCTTCAGCTACCCCAGACTAACATGGCTACATTTCTATCACTTTCTAATTAGGGATGACAAATTTCTAATGGCAGTAAGTTGAACACCCTTGCCCTGCCCCTTACCTCACCCCACCCTTTCCTGAGACCCCACTCCGCCTGTGCCCTTCTCCACGGCCCAGGCCCATAGGTGGGGAGCAGGGCAAAAGGAGCAATTGCACTGGCGCTGGGTTATTCAGAGGGGCCCAGGGCTCTTGCTTCTGCTATTTCAGCAGCAGCAGTGCATGGTACCCCGGGCGCTTTACATCGCTGCCAGAGCACCGTGCAGTGTGCTCTGGCAGCTCCTATGGCTGCCTGGGGTTGTAGGGGCAGCAGTGGAAGGTGTGGTCAGGGTACCACCAGCCCCTTCTGCATAAAGCCTCACCCATTCTGGGAGCATGGAGCTTCCTCGCACCTTGTCCAGGGGCCTGGTGTGTCTGTTGGCTCCCCTGCTGAGGTTCCAGCCCCGCTCACTCCATTCTCCTCCCTCCATTGCTTCCTCAGTCATTTTCACCAGGCTGGGGCAGGGAGTTGGGACATTGGAGTGGGGAGGGGTCTGGATGGGGCTGTGGGCTCTGGGATGGGGCCAGGGATGAGGGGTTTGGAGTGCAAGAGGGGGCTCTGGCTTGGGGATGGGCTGGGGATGACGGGTTAGGAGTGTGGGGGGGGGCTCTGGGCTGGGGCAGAGGACTGGGGTACAGGAGGGGTACAGGTTATGGGCTCCAGTAGTTTGAGTGTGGGGGGGGAGGTTCTGTATTGGGGAAGGGAGCTGTGATAGTGTAAATGGTTAACCAATAAGCCCAGACTCATCAGTTAACCTAGTGTAAACGGTTAACCAATAAGCCCAGACTCATCAGTTAACCTTGACGGTTACACACAAGCTCCCCACCTCTGCTGTTGCCTCTGTATCAGAACCCCTCCCCCCACACACACACTCAGGGAGCAGAAGCATGGGGGTGGGAAGCCAGCTTTTAAGCCAGATCTCTATTTGTACCACCTCCTGCAGAGCCATATCACCCCTCACGCGGCTGCCTCTCTATCAGAGGCAGCAGCATGGGGTGGGGGTGGTGTAGGAACCGGTACGTGCAAAGAGCAAGCTTAAAAGCCGGCTACACGTTTCAGTGGTTACACGTTTACCAAAATAATTGGATTTTAATATCCCTAGTGGGGTCCAGCAGGGGATTCGGGGTGTGAGCTCTGGGTGGCACGGACCTAAGGGGGTTCCCAGGAAGCAGTGACAAATCCCTCCAACTCCTTGGCGGGGGGGGAGGAGAGGAGGGGAAGTGGCTCCGCATAGTGTCCCCACCTACAAGCACAGCTTCCACAGCCAGTACTCAGGGCAGTGCCTGAGAGTGGGGGCAGTGCGAAGCCTCCGCCACCCAGGTGCTGCTGGGTCTAGGAGTTGGACATGCTGGCTTCTTCCTGAGAGCTGTGCAGAGCCAGGTAGGGAACCTGCCAGCTCTGCTGTACCACCAGCCAGCCCTTTCATGGCCCCCGGTGAGCACTGGGGTGCCTTCTTGACCAGGTGTTTCATTTCACAACTGGACACCTGCAACCCTAATTCATAGATTTTATGGCCAAGGGGATGTTTAATCCGACCTCCTTCAGGCTATAGAACTTTCCTGTATTAATTCCTACTTCAGATCCAATAGCTGTGGTAGAATTACAGCATATTGTTTAGAAAAACATTCAGTCTTGATTTTCAAATGTCAAATAAGGAATCTGTACACGAGGTAATTGTTCCAGTGATTTAATTACCTTCTCTTTTTAAAATGTGTGCCTTATTTCCAGTATAAATTTGTCTTGCTTCCACTTCCTGCCATCGGTACTTGCTATACCTTAATTGAAAGAAGTTCCTGATGGCAAAGATGTAGATTATCCAGTCCATGTTCTGCCACTGCAGGATTGTTCCTTGCTGTCCATATTGTTTTGTAAGCAATCTAATTTAAATGATACAGCTCTGTAATAGGGAAATTGGTAGTGTTCATTACATAATAAGGGGTGCCTAACACATTGCATTAATGGAAAGAACTCTTGCATCTTTGAGAAGTTCTTGCTCCTTCATTGTTTGTAGCAAGCCTTTGATGTTTGGCAGGAAGAGTGTGCCTTTTCTTTGTCTCGTGAAATTCTGTTCAGCTTTAGCTGGGGTATAACCTGCCAAAAATCACCCTTTCCAATCTTTCTTTTGTTCCCCAGGAAAATTGTGACCGTTTGCCTAAATAATAACGGTATACATTAACATTCCAAAGCTGGGTGCATGCTGCTGCCAAAACCTCAGCAACAGACACTGGACTGGAAATAGATGGGAGCTGCCAGAGCAGTTATGTGTGTATAGGGGGAACGGGTCAAGTGGAGAGAGAGATGTATCTCTGCTAGGCTCCCCGCTCTCCTAACCTATGTCACCCTTGGGTGCACTACATCAGGAAGGAAATAGGCCCGGCTTCCTCCCCGCAAACACACATCTCAACCCCCTCATGGAGTACGTAGCCCCCCCATCCATATTTCCCTTTTATCAAGGAAACTACATAGAATTGGAATCCCCATTACCCATGATGGAGGCAAGGAACGAGAAGGCTAAAGAAGCTCCCCCCCGGCCAATTATGTTAAAATATTATTCAGGTTGCAAAGTCGAGCACTGAAAAGTTAGAAAATATCAAATTTATGATTGGTTGTGCAACCTTAATGCAGCCCTTGTTTACAGGGTAGGTAGCATGGTCATTTTAAAATACATAATCATATACCATTATTTCCACAGGTATCCTGACTCTTTAGATGCATAAGATGGACCCAGAAGGGGGGAAAAATTAAGATTGTATAGGCAAGCAACTGTGAATTGATATGTTCTAATTGTTGGGTGCTTGACTTTGTAATCTAAATGCTGTTCTTTTTAGCTTTGTTCATTTTAATGTAATAGCTTCTAGTTAAAACAGCTCATTTTTTTTAGGCACAAAGGGAATGAAAGATGGGCACATACCCAATTCTGAAAAGTGTTGCACACAATTATAATTCAATAGAATAGATACAAATCAATATTTTTCAGATATTATGCATCACATTATGATATGCTACACTGATCAGCGAAATTCTGTGTTTTAGGGACTTGATATGTACAAGTGCATGCCACACAAGTCTGGACCCAACCAAGCCTGATTAGGATTGAGTAGACTCCTGCACAGAAACATGAAACTCAGAAAGTCTTTCAACAGGTAAGAAAGGGTTGGGAGAATGAACGGACTCAAAAACTTTGTGTGTGTGTTAATTTCATAAAGCAGAACCCAAGAAGGATGGGAATTAATAAATGGGTTTGTGAATGACAGAGGAGAAAAACCGTGAAAAACTACTTGCAGGGCTGTTCTGAGGCCACATAAGGGTTTGGTGTACCAATATAGGTGGATCTCGAACATGGGTCTGAAACCATTCCCTAGAACTCTTGATTTTTAGTGGAAGTGCAGCATAAAGAATAATGGCATGTCTAGGTCATAAATACCTAATTTCATTGGTTTAACAGAATTCTAGCCTTTGTTGCTTGAACACAATCATGACTCAAGGGTTTCCTAGTGAGGGCTAGATCCAGCACAGACTGAGAAAACAGGACACACAGATAATTTTATATCCATTTTTGTTTCAGTTTGATTTGCTGTGACCCCCTGCAGATTTTCTGAGCGCTTGGAAATTGTGGGCAAATTCAGGTTTGGTGAAAACAGGTACAGCTCCATTAATTTCATTGCCTCATGCATATACTTTGAGAATTATGTAGTGAAGTAAGTGGTAAAGAGCTTTGCCATTGATTTTGATACAAGCTGGTTTAGATCCCAAATATTTGTTTACTTGCTTTTATCTGCAGAAGCAGCAGCAGGAGGCAACATTTTTAGTGCTGGTCCAAGCAAAGGGAAAAGGTTAATCCATCATCGCTGTTCAAAATTGCATGGATTTTTAATTTTATTTATTTCAAGCACCATTTTTTGCTGTTTTATCAATTAAGTCAATGTGTGAGAAACAACATTAAAACCCCACAACAATGTATACTACTTACAATATGCTTACTTTGAAAATACCTGTGCTGTTTTTGTGCA